CTACTTTTTTTTTACCAACGAATAGTGGGATTGATCGTCACGTTATAATGCCACCAAGGCTGAAAGGGAGAGCATGTTTGGTGGGACGGGAATTCGAACCCGCGACCCTCAGATTGCGATTCGAGCCCCCCGCCCTAACCACCGGGCCACCAATTAATGGACACAGTTACTGTTTTGCGTAAAGGGTTTTAGAATATTTCTGACGTGAAACTGACATCGAACGGTTTTTCTATACGTAGCAACTGTAATTTGAAGTTAAGCATAAAGCTACACAATGGGCTATCTGGGCTCTGCCCACCACGTCTATCGAAACCCAGTTTCTAGCGTTGTAAGTCCGCGGACATACCGCTGGTTACTGTGCTGATGTCTCAGCCATTTCTCAAATACTTAAATTCTCGGTTTCCATTTAAGCGATTATTTCGAGCACATTAAATTTCTACAGTTAAACCTCTTAAGATCGTCTCTTCCAATAACAAAAACTGGAATTTAAAAGATTCCGAGTTTTACAAACTAACCGGCATAGAATAAGAAATGTGACTAAAGCGGTCAGCTAGTAGAATCCCGACTTCGAATCTCGCTCGGTCTCTGTTTTCATTTCTTCAGAAAAATATAATATTCCGTATATTCTATGAATATATAATGGTATCCTTCTCATATCTAATTCTTTATTGATATGGGTGTTAGTTATGTAGTATCACCTATTAAAATATTCATCACGTGCACATATTTAAAAAATTCCTCTTTTTTAGATATGCTAGATAATAGAGACATTTTCATTATTAGTCGCGTGAACATTTTTATGCCTATTGTGATATACATATATATATAAATGTTTGGTCTTCTGCAGAGTGTTAAAGTTTTGGGATGGCTTCTGACAATTGGTTGCAATCTGGCTGTTGTGTATGGTGTTTACCCATGGAACAATGGAATAGTTCCCAGTCGACCCGTTGCTATTTTGTACGCTGCTACACACCGCCTTGCTTGGACGTTTGGCGTTGCCTGGGTAACGGTTCTCTGCATTACTGGACAAGGAGGTGGGTAGTGTGAGAGATGAGTAAATATATTTATTATATCTAAGTTAAAAACAAACGTAAAACAATATTTTTAAGCACCATACTAACTCCTAACGATTATTTCGGGAAAAAAGGGGGCAACGTTATGGAACTATTGATTCAACTAGCTAATTCGATTTTGGTTTCAATAAAAAAATAAAGTTTACGGATTTTCTTCTTTGATGGGCCGAGGCTTGGAACGAGGGGTCTATGGTTCGAGACATAATACTGCAGAAAACAAACGTTCTGCACTTATAACTGAGGGCATATTATAAAAATGTAAGTCAATGCCGGTATTCAGTTCAGAAAGGCGGACAAAGCCCTTGTGGTAGTAGGTGTTGCTGATTGGCTGCCCTCCGTCTGGTCCGTAGTTCTAAATTAAGGAAGATCTCTGGCACGTGTGTAAAACGGTTTGAAACTTCCAATTCCATTTCTTCTTTAATGTTTGTAGTTAAGCACAAAGCTACACAAAGGGCTATCTGTGCTGAGCCCACCAAGGGTTGTATGTCCACAGACATGTGCCGCTGTGCCACTTGGGAGCCTTCATTAATTGTAATGTTGATTGTAGTAAGTGCTATAAGTTGGTGCAATTTACAAACTATGGTCCACAATGTACAATTATATGATTTGTCTCTTAGACAGGTCTCCAAGGTGCTGTTCTCTATTTAGCTTATAACTGTCACATATTAAGATAATAACATGTACTGTCTCCAAGGTGCTGTTCTCTATTTAGCTTATAACTGTCACATATTAAGATAATAACATATACTGTCTCCAAGGTGCTGTTCTCTCTCTCTTTGGCTCATAACTGTCATATTTTCGCTTTATCCCTTGTTTATTTGAACACTTCAGTAAATATGCATATATTAAAGTTTGCACTAAATATGTTGTATTTGTGATTCGGCGTTTTCTTGAGTAACGAATAAATTTTGTAATGGTTGAATGATCCTCAAATAAATTTTGTAATGGTTGAATGATCCTCAGATAAATTTTGTAATGGTTGAATGATCCTCAAATAATTTTTGTAATGGTTGAATGATCCTTAAATAAATTTTGTAATGGTTGAATGATCCTCAAATTTTATAAAGCGGGCAAAACAAACAATCAACTAATGATCATTTTATTAATATGCATGAAAAAAATAAAAGAAATTTTGGAGAGTAATAATAATTAATTTCCAGGACAACAAACTTTTTACAAACCAGTGGCGTAGACACGGTTGGGCCTGTCCAACAAATATTTCATACGTTTATTGTACGATTGTTTAACACGTGGCTGTTTTATTTGATCAGATATCGTCAACAAGATCCTGTCCAACAAATATTTCATAAGTTTATTGTACGATTGTTTAACACGTGACTGTTTTATTTTATCAGATATCGTCAACAAGATCCTGTCCAACAAATATTTCATA